CTATTCTGATTCCAATTTTGATTCCAATTCCTTCCTTCCCTCCTTCCTTCCTTCCTTCCTTCCTTCCTTCCTTCCTTCCTTCCTTCAATTACTTCTTTTTTCTTCCCTCTTCATTCTCCTTTCTTCTTCCTTCCCCTTTTCTCCTAGAAGACCTCCAAAGTCCCTTCCATCTCTATTCTGATTCCAATTTTGATTCCAATTCCATTTCCTTCCTTCCTTCCTTCCTTCCTTCCTTCCTTCCTTCCTTCCTTCCTTCCTTCCTTCCTTCCTTCCTTCCTTCCTTCAATTACTTCTTTTTTCTTCCCTCTTCATTCTCCTTTCTTCTTCCTTCCCCTTTTCCCCTCTTTTTCCTTCCTTGCTCTCTTCCCATCTTTTTCTTTGTCTTTCCTCTTTCCCTTTCTCCTTCCCTGGCCCTTCTTGCATGCTCAGATGCAAAAGGGGAAAGGTTTCTCCTTTTGTTTTATTTTTAGTTTGTTTTGATAGCCTTCTGGCAACGAAAACATTTTCACTGGCCGAGGGCTTCAGGAGACCACGGTGGCCAAAAACGGAGGCAGGGAGGGGCATGCGCAGCCCTCCCCAGCTCCGTTTTCACTGGCAGAGGCACTGTGGGTCTGTCCTTTGCTGCTCCCAGGTCGGCCCCGCAGGCCAGATCTAAGCACCCCGTGGGCCGGATCCGGCCTGTGGGCTTTGAGTTTGACACCCCAAATCTATATACATTCATATCTCTTCTCTTCCTCTTCTCTGTCATCATGGCTTTTTGAGACAAATAATGGTGAAACCTTTTTTTTTTTAACTTATCAGTTCCCCAAATCCAGCAATTTTACACCAGATCCTTTCTGGCTGATGATCCCTTTTGTGCAGCATGTGATAATGTAGATAATTATTATTAACTAATTAGTGATAAAAGCCAGTCATTTGGAGAATAATTCAGAGAGTGAAGTGGGTTTTAATAGAAGTTAAGACTGTGTTGTGGTCTGCCAGCGGCCAGAGGAGCTGGAAGCAGATTCAGAGAGTGAGGAGGTGTGGGAGGAACCTGGGCCAGTCCTGGAGTCTGGGGAAGGCTCTGATGAGGGCTCTGTGTTGGAGGCAGAGAGGAACCCAGGCCCATATGACAGTTATCAGCTGCCTTCAGAGTCAGACATCAGTGAGGCAGAAGAACAGNGGGCAGGTGGGTGGAGCCTCCCGCCACCGCCACTACCGGTTCGCCTGATCCAGGCCGAACTGGGAGCAACCCACCTCTGCTTAGTGCCCATCTGAAAATCAGGGTAATGAGAATCACAGTGAAGTAATTAATTGTTTGAAGGAACATCTATTATGTGCAGAAGCACTACAGCCTACCTGAACATGCTGTATTTATAGGAATAGTACTATATAACGTTTAGGTTATTGGGATATTTGGCTGCAGCACCCCAAACAATGTGAGTGGAGAAGGTGTTATAACATTAGGAAGAGCATTACAGAGTTAGAAACCATATGAATAGGAACATGATTTAAATTTTCTGGAGTATATCTACTTTTAAGATTGCCAAACAAGAATCTTTTGCACATTTGCTGTCTTCATTTCCCCTCTATTTTTATAATTCAAAGTTAACAATTCTTTTTGTGTTCCTGGAAAATATGTTTTACTACAACAAGTCCAGGCAACGGGACAAGACATACGTTAAGCGTAAACCTGGATTTGCCAGTTGCTGTTTCTCCAGAGCAGTGCAGTGATTTTCAGCAAACGCCTTGTGCAGTCTGCTGATAGCCCTGAACAAAAAAATGGCGCAACTGTATTTACGTAAATGAATGAGCATCAAATCATGGGGTCACTCTCCTGGAAGTTTGATGCAGACAGTAGTGTAAGCTTAAACAACAGGGAGGGGAAGTCAGAGTTCAACAATAATCCCCCCTCTGATTTATTAGATCAACTAAATGAATCTTACACTGTGTTGTTGCAAAGCTCTCAGTTGACTTCAGTGTCATGTTAACTTTTCTTTCAGGTGGCTTTCTATGCATTTGCAATAATTGGCATGGAGCTATTTGGAGGCACCATTACTCCCATGGGCAATGTCAGGTAAGATGGGAAATCAGCATGCCATTCCTGCTTGCAAGAAGGCCAGAAGATACAGTTGGCTTGTATAGCCTCAGCATGGAAATACATCTGTAAAACTTCTAAATGTTAATAACAACAACCCAATTGTGATATTTCTTGTGCAAATTAGGCTAATTTATAAAATAGTTCTTGACTTAACAATGACAATTGGGTCTGGAACTTCCATTGGTAAGCAAAGTGGTTGTCCAGTGAATCTCACGAGATCTGCATTACTAATGGATCGTCCCAAAGGTGCTTTTTTTCAAGAGGCAACTGGGCTTCCTGGTTTTTCTTTGAAGATGTTTCGCTTCTCATCCAAGAAGCTTCTTCATACAATACAATAGCAGAGTTGG